CTTACAAGTTTCCTTATAGACACAGTTGACATCAAACAAATCATTAGATAAAGTACTAATGATAGTGTGTCGGCATACCTTATTTGCATAAGTCCATACAACTCTTTAGGCTTAGTTAGCATTAGCAGAAGGCTTAGATTGAGCAAGAGCAGCAGCTATACCATGCATGTCAAGAATGGTAAAGACTCGTTCCTGCCAGCGTTTGAAGTTCTTACCTTCAAAGACCTCTATCTTTGATATATCTAGGAATGGCCTAGATAGTAGGACAACAACAACAACAGGGATGAAGTGATCTCCAACAGAACTACTAGGTATATCTTCGAGGATGACATTATCAGCACCGTTGGATGCCATTCGGTTTGACTAGTTCTTGAGATTGTTGGCGGTATGGACATAAATGACGAGATGCTTGAGTCATGCTTAGAAGGAAGTTATCCTTAAGAACTATTTTGGCACATTAAGATGACGGATCGATAGTTTTTGAGGATTAAACAAGTACTACTTGCACAAAGCAAAGGCACAGAATAACAGCATTAATAGAAAAACTTAGATGAATGTAAAATAGACAAATGCAAAAGAGGGGGAGGAGGATGCCCCAAAAGCTCAAGAGGCTGGCTGTCTTGTGCACGGAGCCCACTTCTCCTCCAAGCTTATTTTACTAGTCCATTTCATTCCTTAGTATTTATACACTAGGAGAGTTCTTCATTTAGGCAATGTGGGACTTTTGACACACATACTTTTGACACACACATAATAGTTTTTACTTATTTTTAGAACAAACATACGAGGAGGAATCTTGGTGTAGAGGAAATCATGCTATGGTTTCATTTATAAGTTAAAGGTTTGAAATCCTTCTACCATTACTGATATGCCCTAGTAACCATTTGCTTATTTATTTCCTCCTCCCTGATTTAATTTTTAATTGGAAATTAATTGAGAGAGCATGGGAGATTTTATCCAGAAGCTTCACTTACTCTCCTCTACTCTATGGTCTCTTCGCCATTTGGACTCGTTGTTGTTGCCGAAGCGAAGGTGTGCCATAGATTTCCCACTAGATGCATAACTCTTTCTTCTTGTACGACCTTATTCTAAGTTATTGAGAGAACCTAAAATTGAAATCCTTTCATGTCTTCTTCAACCTTTGATCGTAGTTCAGACCACTGTCGGTGGGTGCTTGGCTGTGTTCCATCATTGATCGGTCCCTAATCATCTGAACCAAGATTCATTTATCCTCCCCTACTTCGTTCTCATTGAGAACTCGCTATTGTTGAGGTAAGAGTTATGAGTTTGATTTCATATGTGGCTATCGCTTCTTCCTTCTCCTCTCTTTAATTTCTCAATACCGAAAGCTTCTCTCTTCTCTGTTCGTGTTTATCAGGTGCTGTTGCATGGAGCTCACTCTTCTCTCCTTCCCTACTTAACACTCGAGCTCCTTCCTCTTCTCCTTTTTGTTGATTGGTGATATAAGGTGAAAAAATTTGACCATTCACTTCCTCATTACTATGTGTATATGACTATGGATTGAGATTTTGAATTGGTTCTCAATTTTTTCTTCTACGAGTTGTGAGTAGTGTGATGATGGAAATTATATTTTCCTTTGAGTATTTCAATTTGATTTTTGTTGAAGGACTAACATTTGGAATGCTGGATTATTTGATATTAGAAACTTTAGGGAAATGAAATTTGTGGAAAAGAAAGTTTGGTTTTAGTTAAATGATTCATGCCTACAAAGGGTTTGATGAAATGCTTATTAGAAGATTTTTGCTAAATTATGTATCTATAATATTGTTGATTTCTCAAGAAGCATGATGTGGCTTCAACATTGTTATTTTTAAATCTAAATTGGATTTTTTGTTTTTTGTTTTTTTTTTGCAAAAGAGTTTATTTAAGAAGTTATTGGGATCTTATCTAAGGTTTGACTTATTAAGAGTTATAAGGTTGAAAATTTATGAAGTATATTATCATTTTAGAAGTTATACTTAGATGATTAGAAATGATTGGGTATGAGAATTAAGAGTTACATGTTTTATTGAATGCTATAGAATGTCGCACATTAGGTGTTTGACAAAAAAGCCTAAAGAGAAATTTTAACTCAGTGGAATAAGTACCTATGGCTAAAATGATATAGTGAGATGTTAAGAGTCAATGAAAGTGAATTAGGGAACTTTGAGTTATTAAAGTTGCTTTTGATTATATAAGTGTTGGAAAGGAAGTTGTTTGATTTGAACAAAGGCCATTAGAATTTCTTTATAAATTTTTATAGGATTCAGAGAAAGAAATTTGAAAGGAATTTTAAGAAATAAAAATTAAATTTTTTTTGGGAAAAGATATGTGATTTAAAAATTCAAGGATCATGTTTGCTTCTTCTATATTAAGCTTGAGATATATAAAGTGTTTGATGAAAGGTTGGAAAAGAGAAGGTTAAGGCAAGTGGAATAAGTCATAGTGAAAGTTGTCTATTTTCTACAAGAAAACTTAGAAACTTTGAATATTGGTTATATAGGTAATCTAGGAGTTTATTAATTAAACTCAACACATAATGTTATTATGAATGGTGACAAACCGGAGATTTTCTTTTCTATTCCTCTAAATTATCTTGAAGATTTGGATTTGCAAAATATAAAAGAAATAACAATAATATCATTTGAGCGTTAGGGAATTAAGAAGCGGATAATATTATAAAGGCAATTGATTAGGAGTAATTTGCATACTTGGGAATATCTCAAATATGTGAATAACATCTGAATGACTTGTTACATTGTGAGTGCTTGGCAAGTTCTTTGTTCAGCACATTAATCGAGTGTTTCCCACTTTTGTTTTGTTTTGTTTTGTTTTTTGTTTACTTATTCACACTATCAAATTTATTTTTTTTGTCATATTTTCTCTTCCTTAAATTTGTTAATTATCAATAAAAGAATCTTGCATTTGACCTTATTTAATAGAGGTAAATATTAAAAAAAATTAATTTCAAAGACAATTAACTAAATTATTGAGGGTGTAAATTTGGCTAAAAATGTTTTGTGATTTTGAAAGGATGGAGTAATTAACTTTTACCTTTGAATCTTAAAATCAAATATAACACTCAAATAAAACTAATTAAATATGTGAATTTTTTTAAAATAATTTGCACTAAGATAAAACAACATTTCTAGACGTTGTTTTAATTAAGAACCTGATTGGGCAGTTTGGAAGATTGAGGATTGTAGACACTTTCAGTGTAAATCATTACATTTGTTTTAAATCGAATTAGTTTTCATTTAATTCTTTATAATTTTTTAATAAAATTATATGTGAGCATTTTTTAAAGCCAATTAAATATGTAGGTCCTTTTAAAAATAATTCATAAATACTACACCAAAATTTATAAATATTTGTATTGAAGATCAAGTAAGATTTTTAAAAATGTTACGAAAAAAAGGTAAATTTTTTTTAGAAATTGTCTTATATTAAATAATGGAGGACTGTAGTTATCTTTATGCGTCGTTATGGATATGGAGCTTGGCTACTGCAAGGTCTAAAACTCTTTTTTTCCCCCTTATGAGAATGAACCCTATTTGACTATCAATTGTAATGTAATTATTGGGAGTTGTCAGAATGTTCATTTTATAGTTTTACTCTTCATTTTACATATCAATATCAACATTTACATCAAAAAAAGAACATCCTTTGTTGTATTTTAAATATCAAAACTGCTTATGAAAAATCATTCAAACATCCTTAATTTTTTCAAAATCAATAGAAAATATTTTCTAAACATCACCACATTATGTTAATCAATTCTTTTCATCAACAATTTGTTCTAATTGAAATCTAAACACACCTTATATTATGTGGTATAATTGATTTATAAAATCAATTAATAAAACCAATTTTAAGCAAAATTGGAAAGTATAATTGGAAATCTGGTAAAATTTTTACATCCAAACACCTTATAACTATTTCTCTTTACCCATGGCATCGAAATTCTCTCGTGATCACTTTCATTTCATCCAAACGCCTAATACCAACTTGGGTTGGTATTTAGGTCTTGCCTTATGAACAATATGATTTCTACATTACGAAAAACTTCGGGAAATTTTTTTCTTGTCACAATGTTAATACCTTGGAGCAAAACAGTGACTTCTAGCTTCAAGTTTTCTTATTTGCTATAAACCATGTTCAGCATGTTCACTTATTAAATGGGTAGACACTAAATGTTCATGAGATGGTTTTTGAAAATGTTAATAAATATGCTCACTCGATTTAAATGTTGGCAATGACGAACCAACATGCTAGTGATTGTAGGAACTTGCTCCCACTCACTTTTACAAAACTTACCTACAAGATATGTAAAATTTACCTTTTCTAACTATTAGTTTTAACATTTTGATTTTACAAAGTTTAAATTATAATAATTTGCCCTTTCGCCCCCACTAACATAAGGTCTTGGATTCACCATTCGTATTGGTTATGTGTCTCACTTTATGTTCATCACTTAAAGTTACGGTAATTTAGATTGTTTTTAGATTCACCAAGTCTTCTTACTTTTGACTTTGCCTTTGGTAAATTTTCGGGTCGCACAAATTTTTTCTCTAACATTTGATGCACTATTTAGTCTTGAAGCTCAAGTGGTGGAGGTAAAAAAAAAAAAATGCTTTGAATTGGGCTTTATTAATGCAAACGTCTCGCATATCATACATGGTCCTTTCTTTCTCGTTCATTGTCACAATGTAAGGTCCAAAATAATTCCATAATGAGTTCTGTATTGGCTATTTTTCATTTTATTTTCTTCAGCTTTTTCTTGTCAGCCGCTTGAGCCTTGACACTAGTAATCTAGTACGCTTAGGCTTTGTTATGTTATTGTTTTACCTATTTAATAATTTAAATATATAAAATAAAAATTAAATATAAATAATTAATGCATAAAAATTAATTTAATGTTCAAAATAATTATAGAAGTTCATGCATATAATATATCAAAAGTCCTACTGTTCATAAAAAGAAAAATCAAATTTCTCAAACGATGGACCCCCACCCCGGGGGGCCGCGTTTCAGACTGGCTTCATGGTGCTTTGGGCCAGCCTCCCGTTTCACTCTCTGCTCGCTTCATTGCTGTCTGGTCTCCGCCGTCTCTCCGCGCCTCTCCCTTCAACTGTCTACTCACAAGCAGCTAACCGACGCGGCGACCCTTGAACTGAAGATTCTTCCATCAAGCGGCTCGCCAAGGTGAGTGTCTTCCTTTCGGTGTCTTTTCCAACCGAATCCCCAATCGGAGCTATTTTTGCTCATCGAAGATTCCCTTTGAGAATTTTAGATTCTGTGTTTAGTACGTTGTTGTGCCTCGATTCTTGAGCTCACTTTCTTGTTTTGGTCTATCTTAATCGGGCTTGGATTAAAAAAAAAAAAATAGCTTGATTGTTCAGCCACAAGGCAATCAGACAATCACAAAAAAATCATTTGTAAGCTTAGCCCTCTTAAAGGGCTGCAAGGATGTGGGAAGAAAACGAAAATACACTGTAATTTTCTATCTCTTTGGCAACCGATGCAACAAGGGATGGTGAAATTAACTGAAGTCAGATTATTTTTTCCCCTAAAGAAAATTTCTCTGGAGCGTGCAAGTTATCACATACGCGTTTGAAAGTGGCTTTTAGTTAATGAGGAGTTATGTCAGAAAAAAGGTTAGCTACTTGCATGCTTGCAGTTGGCGTTGTACTTGAGCATTCTGTGGTCATTCTTTGCTTTAATTCGTGCTTCTGATACTTGATGTTATTTTATTTCAATCTCAAAGTTTGCAATTCACGTTCACTTATTTTGGGTATATTCCTTTTGATTAATGCATTTCCTGCGATGCGGTTTAAAATCTGAAGTGAATGATGTGTAACCGGGTTTTGTGGTGGATATTATGGTGAAATGTATTTTGTTCAATCTGGCTGTGGGTGGGCATATATTGCTTCTTTAGAAGGTGGAAGAGTTTATGTAAGATGTATAATTGCTTGACTTGCCTGGACATGGGGTTAGAGTGGGTTGATACTCATTTAAAAAGTAATGGATCTTAGGAATTTTGGCCACCGTTGTGCAACAGCTGTGGTCTTTAATTTTAAGCACATCTTTTGGCACAAAATTTTACATGTTCCAAGAATGGAACAATGTTATGCTTTAATCAGCTCAGCTGATATTATGAAAAGATCTAATTGGTTTTGCATATCCATAAAAAAATCAGCATTTTTCACTCAAAAAAAAAAATCAGCATTTTAATTTACTTCACGAGGATCTGATTTCTATTGGTTTCACGTAGCCTGAAGCTTCTGAGAGTTGTTTTGATCTGATTCTAGCACCAGTTTCAAAGATATACATAACAAGCAGATGGTAAGCTTTTTGATATCCAAAATGACTGTTTTTCAGTTCCTACTTACATTTCCATTTAATTTGTTGTGGCTTGAATCTGAATGACCATTTTACTTGTTCTTCTTTTTCATCTAAAATTAGGCTATGGGAGCTGTTATTCCTAATCTTATTGCGGTAGTGGTGAAGGGAAGCAACTCTTTGAGATAGCCATGCTTTAAACTTACAAATCTATTCATCTGTTTGGTTTTCAGAAAAAGGATTGATTTCTGCATCTTTTATTTCTTTCCCATAGAAGTCTGGGTCCGCAATAACTATCCATGAGCTAGGAATTCATTAACAAATAAGTTTCTATTGCATAATGCTGAAACGGATTATATGATATCCTCAACATCAACCTTTTCCTGACATCCTTAAATCTTTATCTCTTCTCCTTCTTAGTACAATTCCTTATTTTATATATATATATATATATAAATTCCTTCTGCTTATCTTCGTATCTGCAAAATTTGTAAACAAAGGAATGTGATAGAAAACTAAAGACATGTGTAGAAAAGCTTAGAATTTAAACTACTTAGAATGAGATATCTAGGTTATCTTTTAGTTTAGATTATTATTATTATTTTTTATAAGTCTATTAGTTGTGTCAAGGGCCTATAGTTATGAGTAGCCTAAGGTTTCTCTTTGTTAGACTTTTTGACCTATTAAATAAGGTTGAGATTATTTTCCATCTACTTCTCCTTCCATGCTTTTCTGTTATTCCTCCATTCTTCCCCAGTTCTCCCTCTATCTCCCCTCTTCCCTAATTCCACCTCTTAGGTGTTTTAGGTACAGCAACAACAACATGCCTTATCACACTAAGTGAGGTTAGCTGCATTTATTATATGATGTTATTGTGCTTATCATTATCAACAATTAACCCTTTAGATGTATCATTTACCAAGTGATGATCCCAATGGATAACAAACATTATGGCAATGCTTGTTTGATACAATAGTGGGACAAAATGCTAGCAACATCATGCCTAAGGGAAAGCTAATAAAATCCATCCTCATCTAAAGCTTTGGTCTTATCCCTACCAAAATTCTAATTAAACTACCTAGCCTGGCATGCTATTCCCAAATAGAACAATCTCATGGATGTCTACAGAATGCACAACGTAGTGCCATTAAAGAGGTAACCTTTTCTATTGAGCAAGAGGTTCATAGTGTTAGATGTTTGTAATAGTAGAATGGAATAGATGATAGAAGAAGATAGGAGGAGAGAAGAACAAAGGAAGGTTGAGAGAAGAAGAGAGGTGAGAGGTTGGAGAGGAAGAGAGAAAAAGAGAGAAGAGAACTTTCTAAATAATACCGAACTCTAGTGATCAACAACAACATAATACAATTGAACAGAAAAGTATTTATATGACCTCTAAATACCCCCAACGGCTAGTAATTAATGGTTATAACTAACTAATGAATGTTAGAATTATAAAAGCATAACAATACCCCCCTAAAAGAGATCCTTGCCCTCAAGGATCACTGATAACAAAGTTAGGAAAATTTTGCTGAAATTGGTACAAAGGCATCCAAGATGCTTCTTCATCTGGCAATTGTTTTCATTTGACTAGAATTTCAGTAATAATTCACCCCTTCTTGCGCCCCACTATCTTCTTCAAAGTCTGTTCAAGTTCACTTGAGGCTGGAATTTCTGGCCAATCAAGTGGAGGGTGTCTTTGTTTCACCCTAGGATCTGGACGCAACTTCAACAAAGACACATGGAAGGTGGGATGAACTCTAGAATCAGGTGGTAAGTCGAGTTTGTAAGGAACAGCCCCTCTTCTTTCCAACACCTTGTAAGGCCCAAAAAATCGTGGTGCTAATTTTTGAGAGCTCCTAGCAACAACAAATAGTTGTCTATAGGGTTGTAACTTGAGAAAAACCCATTGTCCCACCATAAATTCACGATCAGATCTGTGAGCATTAGCCCGTTGCTTCATCATACTGGCGGCGTGGTACAAGTGATGCTTTAAAACTCTTATCATCTCTTCCCTAGTTGTGAAGGACCTATGTAACACATCTAGAACAGAATTGTGTGGTAAATAAGGACAATGTAAAGGAGGAGCTTAACCATATAAGAGTTCAAATGGAGTGGTCTTAGTTGCTGTATAAAAGGTAGTATGATATCACCATTCAACTTTTGATAACCATCTACTCCATTCCTTGGGTTGCTTCCAACACATACACCTTAAATAGGTTTCTAAACACCTATTAAGAACTTTGGATTGGCCATCCGTTTGAGGATAATAGGCAGTAGAACAATGTTGTTGTACACCTAAAATCTGTAAAAATTCTTTCCAAAATCCACTCACAAAAATTGGATCACAGTTAGATATAATTTCAGCGAGAGCACCATGTAATTTATAAACACAATCCATAAAAATTTGTGCTAAAGAAGATGTTGAATAAGGATGAGTCAAAGGAATAAAATACGTATGCTTACTCATCCTATCAATTAAAACCCAAATTGTGTCCTTACCATTAGATTTAGGAAGTGCCTCAATAAAGTTCATGGTAATACTTTCCCAAATTCGACTAGGTATAGGTAAAGGTTGTAACAGCCTGGGGATGAAATAGCTTCATATTTACATTGTGCACAAGTATCACATTGTTTGATATTTTGGGGTTCAGGCCAATCAGCCATCGCTTGTATCTTCTTAGGATTAGTTCTAATCTTACCATTTCCAATTAAATGCCCTAAATATTCCACCTCAGTGGCAGCAAAAGAACACTTACTCTTTTTGACACAATAATGGTTTTTTCTTAAAATAGAGAAGATTTGCTTCAAGTGCTGCACATGATCAACAAGGTTAGCATTATAAACCAATATATCATCAAAGAACACAAGAACAAACCTTTGCAAAAATGATCAGAAGATACTGTTCATGGCCCTTTGAAATGTTGTCGGAGCATTAGTTAAGCCAAAAGGCATAATTAACCACACATAGTGCCCACTATGAGTCTTAAAGGCAGTTTTGTGCATATCTTCCAGTACCATCCTGATTTGATGATATCCCGCACGCAAATCCAGCTTTGTAAACCATTTTTCTGTGGTTAATTCATGAAATAAATCTTCCACTAGTGGAATGGGGTATTAGTTCTTAATTGTCCTCTTGCTCAATTCCCTATAATTGATGCACATCCTCTAAATGCCATCTTTCTTTTTAACTAAAACAATAGGGGCTGAGAAGGGAGAGGAATTTTCTTGGATGACCCCTGATTGTAGAAGATCACCAACTAACTTTTCAATGACATCCTTTTGTGAAGCTGAATATCTGTAAGGCTTAAGGTTTATTGGGTTTGTGCCCTTCTAGAGAATAATGGGACGATTATGACCATCCTTAAATGGTGGTAAACCCTTAGGTTCATCAAGAAGGTCAGAGAATTCTTCCAGAGTGGCTGTAATCACTGCTGGAACTTCTCCAAGTGTTAGAAGGGAAAAACTTTGTAGGGTGCATTGCTGATCTATAATAGGTTATAGTAAGTAGGCTTGATTTTCCTGGGAAACCTTCATTCCCAAGTGCTTTGGCTGCACCATTTTAAGCTGATTTGGAATGTTGGCTTGAAGTTTGCACAATTTCCCCTCATACCAGGAAATCATGGTGAGAGTTTCATAGTTCCAAAAAGCTTTTTTAAGGCTTTTCAACCAATGCAGCCCTAAAATCATGTCATAGGAATGCAGCTCTAGAATTCTGAAGTCAAAGATAAATTCCAAGTGTTGCACACGCCATCTAAAGCCTTTCCACATCCCTTGTACCTTTAATTTCTGACCACCAGCAATCTCAACCCATGATTCACAATTTTTATCTGGCTCCCACCCCATTTTTATTGCAGATCCCAGATCTAAAAAGTCGTGTGCTTCCACTATCAATGAGGATTTGGAATTGCTTCCTACCACATTACCCCACAATTCTTATTGAGGAAGCACTGTCAATCCCTTCAATAGCATATAATGAGATCTGAGGTGTTCCTTCCGCCATATTGTCACCGCTTTCTGGTTCTTCTATGAAAATCTGATCTTCAATATCCTCTATAACTTCAATAAAGTGAAGTTGTAATTTTTGTCTTTGAGGACATTTATGATCCTTTGAGAATGTTCCATGGTAGTAAAAGCAAAGGCTTTTACTTTGGTATTCAGCTTCTTCCTCTGCAGAAAGCGTTTTTGAAATGCTATTAGTGCTCTTGGTGGAAGACAGCAAAGGTTTAGAGGCTAAAGAAGTAATTTCCCCTTTGCCCTGGGTCCCACCACTTAAAGCATTTTTATAAGAACCCCACGTATGTTGAGCATTCTGAGATGACAAATTCGAAGAGGTGGCCACATGCAAAGATATCTTGCCACTCGTTTTCTTCTCATTCTGTTGCTATAATGTGATTTCTTGCATCCGAGCCAAGGATCGAGCTTCTTGAAGTGTACGTGGCTTGAAAAGTCTGACTGGGCCTGCGTAATCTTTTGCCAACCCTTCCATATATGCTTCAACCAGATAATCTTGTGGGAGGTCTGTCTTGCAGGCTATGGTGTCGAAGGCATCATTGTAGTCCGATAGAGATCCCACTATTAGATGTTCGCAATAGTAGAATGGAATAGATGATAGAAGAAGATAGGAGGAGAAGAATAGAGGAAGGTTGAGAGAAGAAGAGAGACAAGAGATTGGAGAGGAAGAGAGACAAGAGAGAAGAGAACTTTCTGAACAATACCCAACTCTATTGATCAACAACAACATAATACAATTGAATATAAAAGTATTTATATGACCTCTAAATATCCACAACGGCTAGTAATTAATGGTTATAACTAACTAATGAATGTTAGAATTATAAAAACATAACACATAGCGTAGATCCCACCTTTACTTGGGTCCTACAAGCTCTCTTTCTCTCGAGAGGCAAATTATCTCAAGCAAGGGGGAAATGATGAAAAGCTGAAGAGTTGTTTGGTGTGTAGAAGCTTATAAATAATTAGGTTTATTTTGTGGCTAGTAATTTTCTTTATTTCACTAAGTTAGATTTTCTTTGAACTATTTGAAAATATGATATCTAGGTTATTTCTTAAAAGTTATTTTATATTATTATTTGCGTCTCAGACTCTATAGAAAGCCATGTTTTATCAGTTGATAGACTTTCGGCCTCTTGAAAAAGATTAAGATTATTTTGCATCCACTTTTTTTGTTCTATATTCTCCCTCCATTCTTCCCTAATTCCCCCCTTCCCATGTCCTACATCAGCATTGTATCTTTACAGTAATGAAAGAGTGAAAAGTCAGCATAAATTCCATCCCTAGCAATTAAGCTATTGCTATGCAGAGTTGATCGGCTGATTTCAGGGGAAATTACTGGAGTCTGAAGCCTTGGCCTTTATGTAATGGCCATTTTGTTGGATCACTGCAGTGATCTTTTAATTCTTACTTTTGTGAATTCTTATGGCTTATAACAATTTTTGCACTTTGGATTAAATTTTTCAATGGAGAGAAAAGAAAACTGTGATTAATTCTTAGTGATAGTCTTTTATCTCACGCAATTTTTTATTTTGTTTTCTTCACAATTTATTCCTGGCCAGTCGCTTATGTTGTCTTATCAGTGATCTTCTTCCTTTACCCTAACATTGCTTTTAAATATGGGGTCTTTATGTCTGATACTAAATTTAGTTAAACTTCATTGGTCATCCTTGAATGTTCTTGTTACTTGATCTTCAGTTTTGATTTGGCTGCTGGAATTTGAAATAACCTAAATTCCTTGCCTCAATCTTGATGTTATGCACCAAAGTTTTAGATTTCAAAAGTTTAATATCTGACTGACTTTGTTTCACAAATGCAATGGTCATCATCATAAAATGCTCATGTAACATCCGTTAACTTTAAAAGTGATAGCTAGAACTTAACATTTATTGTCTAATTATATAATTAAATAGAATACCATTTTTTTTATATCCATTATTCTTGACTCAAATATCCTAATAGGCTCTGTGTTCATCATATAATAGTCCCATCCTCTAGCAGGGTTTATAATTTCAAAGCATCTGGTCGTTTTCCCCCTTACTTCCTGGATGCCTTGTTACTTGATTTTTATTCAGTATTGGGTTGTCTGCTTATTTTCTTTCCCATATTTTCATATACTTCCGATTTAATGATTGGTTGTTCCATGTTAACAGGTTTACATGCCAGCATTGCAAAGAAAGGTTTATAGGCTTGTATCCTCCTCCAGCATTGGTAGGTTCTCTCTTCCACATTGCACATCTTCTCCATTGCACTTCTCTCGTGCTTCTTCACCAGCACCTTGGATTGGGACTGTTCGGCACATTAGCTACTCTGATGACCATGATGGCTCCATCAAACGACCTATGGGAGCATCTGATGATTTTTCACATTTTGATGACAATGGTGTTAACAGTAGAATCCAACAGCATTCTTCAGAACCAACTCGAAGTAGGCCTTCGAGAAGTGACAACCAGTTCAATCAGCCTCCTCCAAATTTCCGTGAATTTAGCAGAGGCTCCTGTCCTGTCACTCCAAGATCTTTTAACCCTCTAGGTGATGCTGGCAAGTCAAATATATCTTCCCAATCCAGTGATCGATTTCGGGGTAGAAACATGGCTGTAGAAACAAATAAGGAAGCCCCTCGAATGGACAATAGTTTTCTTGAGAAGTTCAAGCTTGGTTTTGATGATAAAAGAGCTAACCCTTCAGAGGATGCGGGAAGCAGCCAATTCAAAGAAGAGAACAAGTCAAGCCCTGATCAACCAGCTGCAGAATCTCTACCACAGGATGCTGATGAGATCTTCAAGAAGATGAAGGAAACTGGTCTAATCCCCAATGCAGTGGCTATGCTTGATGGCTTATGCAAAGATGGTCTTGTTCAAGAGGCCATGAAACTTTTCGGTTTGATGCGAGAGAAAGGTACTATTCCAGAGGTTGTCATATACACAGCCGTTGTGGAAGGCTACATGAAGGCCCATAAAGCTGATGATGCAATAAGGATTTTCAGGAAAATGCAAAACAATGGCATTTCACCAAATGCATTCAGCTACACGGTCCTTGTACAAGGACTCTACAAGTGTAACAGGTTGCAGGATGCTATTGAATTTTGTGTGGAGATGTTAGGAGGAGGTCATTCTCCAAATCTATTGACTTTTGTTGGCCTAGTTGACAGTATCTGCAAGGAAAAAGGCGTAATAGAGGCTCAGAGTGTTATCAGACGATTGATGGAAAAGGGTTTTCATCTCAATGAAAAAGCCATTAGAGAATTTTTGGACAAAAAGGCACCATTTTCATCTTCAGTTTGGGAAGCCATCCTTGGGAAGAAAACCCCACAAGGACCATTTTGAATCTATTGGCATACACTGAGGCTGTTTTGGTTTATATCTTCTGTTGACCAATCATGATCTCCAAATTTTCCTTTCCTAGTGTTTAGTATGGCTCGTTCATGTAAGCCACTGAAAATTTTCTTCAAGGGTTAGTCTGTTTTTTTGCCCCATTCCTAATATTTGATTATTCGTTGTCTTGCTAGTCTGGTATTTGAGTAGTCCATCGAACTTATGGCTGTTGGTGGGAGCATCTTGTTTTGAACTTTCATATATCACTGAACCAAAAACACGATTCATACAGCCGTAGGGTCTGAGCATGGATTGTTCAGAACTCAAATGTTTGTGTTGTGAGCGTTGTAGGCCTGTCAGCTCGAGAAATTGGTTTCTTTCTTTGAGTACAGATCAAATCATAAATGGTCACTAGACCTATTTTCCGTGTTTAGTATTTAAAAGATAAAATTTGAAAAAAGGATGAAAAAAAAAATTATTTATTTTAGTGTATTCTTCAAGAATGAGTATCCCTGCATAAATTTAAAATTTTTATCTTAGGCGTATAAGAAATGCAATTAATATTGTTTTATTTAAAATTTATTATTCTATGTAAATTAATTTTTGAAAAAAAAATTCACTGATTGCATATCAACTTTTTTACATTTTATCTAAATTAAATTTACAATTTTACTGCAGGTTCATGCCCATCATTTTTACAAGTTTTATATATATCACCTATATATTTTCACTATAGGTCGTAAACCCTCTTTTTGTGGGGCCCACATACTCTTTTCATACATAAAAGTTAAAAACAAAATGTCAGCATATAAAAAACTTCAAAGAAGTAAATATCAGATTATTGTATATCGAACTGTTGATCTACTATAATGTGACATACTTTACAATAATATAAGATAAGATATTTTTTGGTGATTTTATATTGGGTATTTCCTTATTGCTTTGTTTAAGTCTGTCTGTTTTGTCTGCTGTGATTTTCATTTTTCAGGCATGTCCCTTTTTATGGAGGTTCTTGAAGGTGAGTTTGGCAGAGTTATTATGTGTTCGTTAAAGTGGCAGACAGGCGTAGAATTCATGCTTCAAAACTTCAATCTTTACTATCTTGTTAGTTTCTAAGTAAACTTTGCTATGAAAATTTATCATGCGTCGTACATTACCTAGGCAGCACCTAACTTGGATGTAAGCAGGAGCGTAAAATTTTTAGTCCTCAACATTGCTTCAATAATATTAATTTGATTCATCAAATTTAATTTTTATTAATTTTAGCCTTTTATTATTTCTTAAATTGTCATAATGTTTTAGATTTTAAAATATATATTAGCCTTCAAATTAATCTGTATATAAAGTATATTGACAATTGATGTGCATATATACTTATATGAGAACATGTTAGTTTCAACAAGTCATCTGATTTCCTTATTTTTCCTTATTTGATAACTAAATAATTTGTAAACTAGGGAAAAATAAGGAAATCAGATGACCTATGAAAGCTGGCTTATTTTCATTTAGTTATATATTTATATCAAGTCATATACATACTTTACATATAAGATTAAGTTAAAGGTTAATTTGTGTTTCAAAACCTAAAAGATTAAATCAATAATTAAGAAAAATTTAAACGATCAAAATTTTATTATGAAAAATTACAAATAGGTCTTATATATGAAGTTTATTTATAAATAAGTTCTGTAAAATTTAAAAACCACAACAAAGTTTTTTGAGACTTGAATGTAATTTGAAGTTAGGGTATAAAGGCAATATTGTTATTTACTTACAATTACAACATCACATTTTATAAGTAAAAATTTATAATTCACTAGTTAAATGTTTGATATATAATATGGAGTCTTCATTGAGTTAATTATGTCTTACATTCTAATTAGACCAATTATAGCATCAAGTAGGCATAATTAACTCAATGGACTCCATGCTATATTAAGCATTAAATAAGAAATGTAACTTGTGAATTACATATTTTTACTTGTAAATTGTGAAGCTATAGTTGTGAGTGAAAATCAAATTAACTGATAAGAGCTTTATTAATTAAGTTTAACCTTAAACAACTTATAGGCTGATATATGTATGTATGTAAATCCCAAATGAGCTTTATTACATTATTTGCATGCCAATTAGACAATTATAGCCTCAAGTAAGCATAATCAATTTCATGGAGACTCTATGTTAAAAGAAGTGTTAATAAGAAATTCAACTTGTGAATTATAAATCTAAAAAAATTAATCATTTAGTCATTGTAGTTTTGACTTAGTTGTTACTCAGTTCTTGAAGTTTTGATTCTATTATAAATTAGTCTCTGAACTTTGCCTCTTATAATTTAGTCCGTAAAATTTCAAGCTCTTAAATGTTGGTCCATATATTTTAAAAAAATAAAATTATAAAAATTATAAAAATTAAAAATATTTTAAAATTTATTACTAATAATTTAAATTATTAAACCCTTTTAATATTTATAAATATCAAAATTTTAAAATATTTTTAATCTTTATAATTTTATTTTTTAAAATATAGGGATTAATATTTAAGATGTTGAAACTTTAGGAACTAAATTATGAGAGCCAAAGTTTAGGAATTAATTTATAACTGAGTCAAAACTTTAAAGATTGAATTATAATAAATCAAAGTTGAAGGATTGAGTTACAACTGAGTCAAAACTATAAAAACTAAATGATTAATTTTTCCTATAAATTTTTTATAGATAATAAATGTTGAAATGGACAATTCAAACCAATTTGCATACACATAAATATAAATAAATGTAAGAAATTAACAAATATAATTTATTATATTAAATATAAATATCTCATGGATTTTTATCCGCAGGGTATAGTTAAGATATATATATATATATATATATATCAAAATTTCATTGTTCATTCGAAGCTTTCTTGTATACAAAATAATTGAAAAATTAAAAGAAAAAATAGATTGGGCCATTCTTCAATACATTAGAAACAAAGTTCGTGGTTCATGGATACCTATATATTCCTTTTTTTTTTCCTTAATAAAGATAGCTGAATATTCATTACAATGTTGATTATAGATTTGTTTGGCTATATATTATAGCTAATAAAATAAAATATACTAGGAGAAGTAGGCCAAAATACACAATTTTATTTATTCTTCAATGTAGGAGAATGGAATGTACAGCCATTCAATCTAAACACCAGGGCCCAATATACAAAAATAGAAAAGCCGAAACAGCAGAAGACAAATACTGTAGGAAGCTCCTATGTACGTTCTGATCTCTTATTTTAATATCAAAATACACTTTCAATCGTAGCATACTCAACGCGTTTAGGTAGGTTTTTAAAACACGTGGCTTATTCAATTCTCATATCATAGATTGTCACTTCAATGATTGGGACTTCAACATATGAATTAATTTAAGATTGAAGGTGGTGGAGGAGGAGGAGGAGGAGGAGGTCGAGGTTTACAAACTTGTTTCATATCTGAAGCAGCCTCAACTGATGCTTTCTCATATTGTGGGCTGTCACCAGGTGTCTTTTCAATGGTTGGAATTTTGATAGACGAATCTTCTACCAGAAGTTCACCAGTGCCAGGATCATCAAAAGGTGATGTGATTTTGTTAACATGTGATTTTGCAAATATGAATCGATTGTATACTGGAGGTGGAGGTGGAGGTGGAGGGGTTCCAGCAAGTGGTTTCTTAACTGAAGCAGTCTCAATTATTGACGGTTCCTCGTACTGTGGACTGTCACTTGATGCCTCTTCAATGATTTTGTTGACATGTGATTTTCCAAAGAGAGGAGACTTATAAGTGGGAGGCTGGTAATCATATGCAAAGCTAGAAGCGATGAGAGACATCGGCTATGAAAAGGAACACTAGCAAATGTTTAGAGGACATTATTGTTGAACTTGAACTCAAAACATTGTGTGTTTGAAGATGCTGATAACAAACTATGAGCTCTCGATATGTAATTTATAGGACTATGAGGGAGGCTAGTTATTGGTGTGGAGATATTGTGCGTCCAACATATTTTATTATGAGAATATAATTGAAAAATAAAATAATGATAAAAATAAAGTTAAATTATCTGCTATGTTGTGAATTTGGTTGCTAAATCTATATCTTGTGTATGTGAAAAATTGAAAATATCTGTTATTGAACTTTTGGACATTTTTAAGCATTTTAACTTTTGTTGGAGGAACAAATTCATCTCTGTAAATATTTATTTTGACTCTCTTGAAGCTTTGACACCTATTTAACATGATTATTATTCGAACCATCCTCTCAACAAACTTATAAAGAAGATCACAGGCTTAGCTATAAAGAATTGGATGATCGCTTTCAACCATGTGCTTAGACAATTTAACAAATGTGTTGATTAATTTGATCATCAAACTTTGGATGACAATATTAATATTTTGATTTTTGACGATCCATCCTTAAGGTATTAAATCCTTATGATTCTAAATCTAACTTAATTTCTTCTTCTTATGTGATTATCCGTGACCATATATTAAAAAAAAAAAGATAAAGAAATCCATCTTCTGTTCAATTTTTGTATAACGCCTATTTTTTTAATATATTTTCTTGTACTATTTGCAAGGTTTAATCGTTGATGTATATTATGTTCGTATAAACACATGCTAATTTGCACAGAAACAAGTATATATGTGTGATACAATTTAATTAACATGATACATTGAATATGATAATTTTAAAATTTTAGGATATATGTATGGAAAGATATAAGGGTATCTTGAGTTTTAAGCAGATAATACAGATGCATTTATACTAGTCAAGAAAAATATTAATGTTTTTTAAGTTTTTAATTAAGTCATATAGAAATATTTTGATGAGAAGAAATGTAGTAATACAATTGGTAAAATATGTAATACATATATCGAAGTACATATGTTTGTCATATCAAATACGTGTAAATTTATTTATTTTTAATAATGTCGGTGCTTATGGTCTAGATATATAATTGTTATATGTTTAACTTATTTTAGTCACTAAATGTATTTCTTACTCTTCACGCAAATAAAAGTGTGTTTTAACCAATTGATTGATGAATACAGACAGTGCTTCCCAGCTTGTACTTGTTAGATTAAAATGAATTTATTGGTCCGAAAATGAGTCTGAGAAGCGAGATATGATTTTCACAAGCCATTAGAATATAGCGCATTAGAAAGAGATGAATTTTAAAAATAAATATATCTGTCCTTCCCTTTATTCCGACATATTTACATATAAACCACTCAATTTAAATTTGAATTTAGATTTTAATTAAAATTTGGATTCATATTTACATTTGAATCCTTTTCTTTTAATGGTTTGATTGTATTAATTGAAATTTAAATTTAGATTTGGATTTAAACTAAATTTCTCATTTTGATATACAGATCCAAATACAAATTCATTTTAAATTATAATTCTTTTATAATTTAAAATTTTCTCTACAGCTTGGTCATTTAAAATTCTAATTGTAATGACCCAAAAATTTAAGTTAAATGATTTTCCTTCTCTATTGATATTTTACTTAATTTAATCATTTTAGTTCATAACACATGAGGAGTATTGACCTAGTGAAAATTATATTGGTTACTTATATAGAGGTCTAGAGTTCAAATTTTACTTAAGTCAAAAGTTAGTTTTATTTTCTTTCATATGATAAATTACAAAAGTGCCTATTTTATAGAAATATTATAAAAAATTAAATATAATACAATAAAAAAAATCTGGTGGGGTATATTTTGTAATTTTTTAACAAGTTTTGGTCTTGTCTTGTAATTTTTCTTATAGTCTTTTTTATTCAAATTCTTCTCTTTCTTTGTCAGTCAAATACGCAGAACAGAGAGAGAGATCGATCTTGAGGTTTTGTTTTTCATTCTAAGGTCGGTGTGACCTTTCCTGATCGATAGAATGTCCTCGACACTCCTTAGCTCGTAGGTGAATTTTATATTCACTTGTACCTCCACAGACATGAAATATAATCTAAGATATGATATGATATATCAAACCATCTATGCCCCTTCGACGTAAATTCTGAATAATTGAAGTTAACTCCCTCCTAGAGCCAACCTGACTTATCCTTCATGTGAAGGCTATCTTGGCCTAGGCACTCAAGCCCATTGAGAGGTGTCGAATACTCAATTCACTAACCACTTCAATACACTGAACCCACAATACCAAAGGCAATACTAAGTACCGCCAGTGTGCTATAGAATATTACAAGTCTACAACTTCCTATCGGTGAACTCTTATTGAGATCATGCACTTTACTCTTGTCTACCTATCCTGAGTATTAATCACTTCAACACTCTAGGATAGTATAACATATATCACTCCTCCCTTAAGCGATTCCTTAGTCTATTCGAGGTACATAACCTAGTTACACTTCTTTAAATGTAACATCCATTCTCTATAATTATAATGCATGCAAACAACCTTATTTTCATAAAAACATTATTATTAAACAAATAGAAAGCATATATGCATTATTATCCAAATAGAACCCCATAAGTCCTTATAAAACATAGTTAATTGCGTTTAATCATTTAAAACATATAATGCATGATAGCTAGTGATATTTATTTAAAAATAGTCAAACAAAGCAATAAGAATTTTAAATTCTCCTGTTACCTCAACTTTTTTTTGTACTAAAAGGGTTTTCTTTTGTATAGAAATAAGACTTGGCTTATTCCTTAACTTTCAAACAAATTTCATCAACAATTCCTACAACATATAAATAATCCACATCAATTCTCATGGCAAAAAGCATAGAGGAAGGCTAAAACTTATACTACACAACTTAAATCAATCGACCATAATTCATCTTAATGGTCCAAATTTTAAAACAACCATCTGCACAATATCACTTAACCACCAAAAATATTTATTAACCACCATTAATCTAATTTCCAAACCATATAATTTTTAATCAATAAAAAACCTTCATTTAGTATTACTAACTTTCACAATTAGTTCTTATAATAAAAATCAAAGCTTATTTTAAATTTTATTAGATTCAAATTGTAATAACCTGATAATTTTTTTAAGAAAATATTTTTAAAAAATTATTATGAAATTAATTAAAATTTATGATTAAATATTTAAGTATATTTATCTAGGTTGGGATAGACTTGCACAATTCGATAGCGGTGCTGCGGAGTTTTGCTTACAGATTATCATAAGGCAGTGGGTTTTAAGTCTTTCCATTACTTTAATCAGTATTTTAATTATTATTTTATTATTTTAGCATCTTGAAATTACTATTAAGCCCTTAACCCCATAAGCTATTTTTGATCTCTCCTTCCTTCCTTTTCATTTCAGCAAACCGAGACTGACAAGAGAGAGAGTGAGAAACCAAGAATCACACCTGATCATTCTTTCTTTCCTCTCTTTATCTTTTTCTTCGGTTGTTCGCCGCCCTTCAGCTCATCATCGACTTGTGTGGTTGATCATCTCTAATGAGTTCTTCCTTCTACTGGGCTTCATCGTCGATTTCCTCCCCCTCCGATCCACGTGGCAGCGTCTCCCTCTTCTTTCATTTTCAGCATCATCACTAGTCTACCTGGAATCTTTCATTTTCGCTTTTCTTTTCTTCCTTGGCTGCGTGGATTGTGGTATGATGGAATCTTCATGTCTCCTTTATTTTTCTTCCCTGTTATGTAAGAATTGAGCAAATGGGGTGCCTGGAAATTGATAATTCTCTTGTTTTAGATGCTAAAATTTAAATTCTTTCCTTACACCTTTGATTTAGTTGTTGTGTGTGTAAGGAAAAATTGTTACTTAACTAATTTTAAATTGAAGATTTTAAAGCCTACTATAGATGTGTGAACGCTGCCTTGTGTTTTGGCTGCTGTACACAATCATGGGTTATATATATATATATATATATATATATGTTATTTATATTCATTCTTGAAAAATGATGAGTTGAGAAGTATAGTTATTAAATATTGATAATTAAAAATATATTATGATACTATTATATCTAATAGGAACTTCACAAGAAGATAAATTTAATGGAAGTTGTGCGAAGAAAATTTTAAGAACTACGCAATCTATTAAGTAAGTAAATAGTATTTCTCAATAAATAGAAGTGATAATTTTTTTCTTGCTTTATTTATTTATTAACTTTAATTTTTTAATTTTATTTTATAATTAAACTAATTTATATGTAATTAGTTTATTTATTATTCAACTTTAATTACGTGAGTATTCACGTGGTATTTTTTTTTTTAAAAGTACTATACACGTATGGATCAAATAAATTATTGATGAAAAGATTATTTGTACTTTACAAATTAAAGAACAATTTGAACTATAAGGATTTTAGCCTCCATGCATGTCGGACACGTTTTATAGGATTGAATGCAAAACGCTAGTTGTTAATGACAGTTTCATTAGCCCCTGACACATCATGGCATACCTAGCTAGTAAGGTACATTGGAGGTGCTAGCTTCGTGTATCAGCCACACACGTGGAAGGCAGGGTGTAATTTCATTGGTATAATCCACGCCTGTTATTCATGAGCTTTATGCTTGCGTTTGTTTTTATGACTTCTAGCCACGTTGAATGTTATTTACTTTCGTAGACTGTGTGTTCACTCCTCTTATTCATTCTATTTAGATCCTAATCGAAAACAATTTTTTAAATTCATATTCTTGCTCTTAAGGATTGTATTTTGTGATTTGTTTCATATAAAAAGATATATTTCTAAATAGTTGATCATGATTCTCTACTTTCTCTTTTTTTATCCTGTTACTTAATTATCAAGATAAATTGTATTGTTATTTCATGATACCATGATTAGTCACTTGTTTCCTCTTGCATGTGTTTGTGGTTATCGTTTTGTTTATTATTATTATTTAGGGACGTTATTTACATGAAGAATTTTTGGTATTCAGATAGTAGAAGTGGACCTACTTTTCAATAGACCTCATGCGACTCCTTGAGACAATTAGAAGTATTTTGTTGCTCTGTTCACATTGTGTATTAATATAAATATTTAAGTATTTTGGTTTTGTTTTAAAATTGCTCCATGAATCATATAGGTAGGATTCCTAGTTGAATTATTTTGGGTTATATATATATATATGCTGTATTAGAGTAGAACTCCAAATGTTGCTTGGATATTCTTTTAGTAGGTTGTAGAGGTTTCGAGTAGTCCAACTTTTAAGGAAGATTCTATCGAAATTTCTACAATAGGTTTGAATATTTTGTTACTACTAGTATTTGTTTAATACAATGGTGATTATATGATAAGATTAGATAATTAAAACATTAGACGTTATATAGGTTTGAGCTTATGGAATATGAGTTTCTTGTATTCCAGCTGGTCACACTTTAGAAATTCATAATGTGACGCAAATAGCATAATTATAACTAAATCAATATGCTTAAATCATTAAAGAGCAAAATCCAATCCTTTAAGGTTTAATTTTTGTCTAAAACTCCCTTCTTTCATTTAATTACCTACTCAAGATATTAGAATATCTCATAGAAACTCAAAAATAACTTCCTTAAGACTTATTGAAACCAAATTTTATAAGAATAAAGCTTTTGAGATCAAAATTCAGAATTTATGTCTTCCAAAAACTCAAGAAAACTCAAGAGGAAAGGCTCTGAAGTAGAGAGCTTACATAATATGTACCTAACTTCACAACCACCGTAAAGACTTCCAAATTCGAGCTCTAGCTTTCCTCTCTTCCTTCCTCTCCTCCACCATCACTCTCTCTTTGTTTTAGCCTTGTCCATTTCTTGTTTTCTTTGCTTTCTATTTCATTTCGTGCTTTGGCCTTTAAAAAAATTGAACATAACAATTTGAGAAAAATTACAAAAAAGAGCCCAAATTTTTTGTTATAACACAAAAGGCTATAGTTAAGAATAGAATAAAATCAAACTTTTGTTTAATAAAATTTTAACTCTGAACTTTTATCAAATTATTCTTAATTTTAATTTAATTATCTATATTTTATTTATTATTATTATTTTATTTAATTTTGAGTCTTAAAAATTTTAGAATGTTAGAAAGCCTGTGGTCCACTAACTTTATAGGCCATTAGCGTAATAACTTTGGAGTTTAAATTAAAAAATAAAATTTATAATTAAATATTTTGATGGTATTTGGAATAAATATACAAAGAGAAATCTTGGTCTGGAGGAAATCATGCTATTGTTTCATTTATGGGTCATAGGTTCGAAATCCTTCTGCCATTATTGATATGCCCTTATAACCATTTGCTTATGCTTATTTGTTTCCTCCTCCCTGATTCAATTTTTGATCAGATATCAGTTGAGAGATCGTGGGAGATTTTGTCGAGAAGCTTTGCTATTTGGACTCGCTGTTGTTGCCGGAGTGGAGGTGCGCCATAGATTTCCTACCAGATGCGTAATTCTTTCTTTTGCGACCCTATTCTGAGTTGCTAAGAGAACTAAAAATTGAAATCCTTTCGTATCTTCTTCAACCTTTGATTGTAGTTCAGACCACTGTCGGTGAATGCTTGGTCATGTTCCATCATTGATCGATCTCTAATCATTTGAACTAAGATTCATTTATTCTCCCCTACTCCGTGCTCATTGAGAACTCGCCATTGTTGAGGTAAGAGTTGTTGTAAATCTAGTATCTCAATTCATATATAATTGAATGTGATAGAATAAAGTAATTCTGTGCGTACCTGAGGAATCCATTGATTGCTTAAGATAGCTCGATTACCTCGAGTGAAGACAAACGCACAACCCATTGGACCCCAGAGTCTCTAGAGAATGCAAAGATAATGGAGTAGAGGAAAATGTATCTTGTGTTTGTAGTGTGTTTGTAGTTATCGACTGATCGACTTATAAGGATTAGATCAGTAACTGCTTTATTAAATAATTAAATAATTATATTCCATTATCTCTAACTCAGTCTGTTAAGAGATAGAGAACAACTAACAGCTACTGGATTGTGGGTTGGGCCTCTACCCATTGGGCTCACTTATAATAATTACCTACCATATAGTTTAATTTTTACCAAAAATCAACAAAATCTTCTCCTTTCAAACATTTTGCTAAATACCTTACATGCTTCAATATTTAAATTATATAGCCAAGTAAAACTTCATATTTAACCTTTTATTTTTTAAATATTCCTTCATGGTTCAATTTACAGCCAGCATTCAATAATGTCTCTAATACTTCCCCTAGTCAAATTCCAATCCCTTCTTAAGAATTCTGGTAAGCATTTATGCAAATATTTCGAGGACATTTTCCATTGACCAAGTCATGTGACAAGCATCCAAGAATTTCAACAATTTCCAACATTTAATTCCATAATTAAAATTTAGCTCAACACCATAATCAAATAACTTTCAACACTAACTGAAACAACACTCCAATCCTTTCAAAAAAAAATGCACAACAGCAATAATGAGAAATAGGGTCTGCATCAATCGGCAAGAGAAGGAAAGAATGATTCACTATTGCTGGTAAATTCAAAGAGGGACAAGAAAGAACCAGTGTCTTACCTCAAATTAAAGTTTAGTGGCAACTATGACACCTCAACTCATAGACAACACCTAAGAAGATGAGGAAGGCTTGCTGTTCAATGAGGACAAGGAGCAGAAATCGAAGACCAAAAGAGGGAAAAAGAGAAAACTTGAACTCGCTATACCCACACACACGGACGTCTGGTAGCTTAAAAGGAAGGAAGATGAAATTTGAACACACTCATGCACCACCGTCAGCCTAAAGTAGAGAAGAAACAGAGGAAGAGCTTTAACTACTTGACCCCATAGAGGCAGGTAAAGGAGAGAGGGAAAGAGAAAAGATGAATTGGCAGCAGTGGGGAGATGACTGTTGGAAGTTGTGCCCTAGGGTCAATCATTATACTATGCATATTGTTATTTAATGAATTTTTCTTTTGTTGTCATATCAATTGCATGATTAATATGATAACTGTATCATTGAACAAATTATAGTGATTGTCATAAATGTCCTTGGTCGGTCATCTATGAGGGATCATAGATAAAACAAGACTAGTATAACTTTGATTAATTATAGAGATACAAATCAAAGTCATAGGCACTTAAAAGAGTACAAGGTTCTGGATTAACCTGTTATGAGAAAGTTGCATGGTACAAATTATAAGCTTATCTCATATGTAACTATATCACTAAGCCCTTTGACCTAAGATCATCATGGATTCCTACATGATAACCACTGAACTTTGACCTAGTCAAAAGTTACCTTTGATCAGGTGATCATAAAGGCTATGATTGAGTTTAGTAATATTCATGTAGAGGAATATGAGTGGTCAAGATGAAATTTGTCCCTTACATTAAGTGAAAGATATTACTGGGCCCCTTGATGAGTAAAACTGAGAAAATATATGGCCATAATATAATGAAAAGGGTTTCTCCATTGTTATTATCAGTCCACTTAAAGATCAAGAAAGTAACCGTCAGGTAAAGGAGAATGCCAATTTCATTTCTCATATTTGACCGAAACATCGTGTGAGAAAATGGATGGGATATGGTTGCATAATAGGTTACATCAGATCATCGATCCCTATGTGAATTGGGTAGTTATAATGTCGCTAGAGGCCACTTGTGACTTATGGGCTAATAGCGTAATTAGCCTATTACCAATTTCATATGAGCCTACAGGGTCATACATAAGAACAGCCTAAATTGAGCTATAATGTCCAAGTTTATTGAATCTAGAATATGTCTAGATTCAATGAATGTAATATCGGGTGAATGAATTTCACACACACACACACACACACATATTTGAATATTTATTTTTGAAATATATATATGATATATGGAACTGATATATAAAATTAAATATATATAATATATATATAATATAATATGTATATGTGATATATATTATATTATATTATATTATATTATATTATGTTATGTTATGTTATATTATGTTATGTTAGTTTTAAATTTAATTTTATATGATAAATTAAATTTAATAACTAATATAATATGAGAGAATTTCATGTCAGTTTTATAATTTGAATTTATAAGATAAATTAGAATTAGATATGATATCATGGATTAAATTTACGAGATAAATTTAATTAAATTTTTTTGGGCTTTTTAGGTGGAAGATGAAAACCCTAATCTATATACTATATATAGATAGGGACGTTCTTTATGAATGAACATAGAGTTAGAAAAGTTCGGATGGTAAAAACACTTTAAAAGCCACGAAATACCCTATAGAAAGGAAAACTAATGTTCAAAGAAGAACGGATGCTGGGAGCACTAGCACGTTATTCGAGTTAGAGAGCTGGTCGTGTGAATACTAGTAGAAGGAGCAAATCTAAGTTGTTAGTTCCTGAGATCCAAACTCTTGAAGAGAACGTGTGCTAAGTTCAAAGAATTAAAATGTAACTCTTCTATCTACCTTAATTTAAACAGTTCGTTCAGTCCATATTACGATAGGAACTTTAAAATTTTAATCTTTTGCTGTGCCTTCCCATCCAACAATGACAACATTGCGGTAAGGTTGAGGGGAGTGCGATGGGAAGAGGAGAAGAGGAGAGAATTTCAGACACAAGCTCCTGAATTTTCCTCTCTGATACTAACCAAGAAAGGGGAAAAAAATTTTAAGTAATGAAACCCATTGAGTAAAATTACAATAAACCCCTTAGATATTTTTGTTGAGTTCCAATAGGAACAAGGGCACGTGTGTAATTTCTCACCCTTTCATTACTTTCTAGTGTTCGAATGGTGGTGGAGGAAGAAAATCTGACATTAATAATTAATTGATAAAATTACAAGAAAGGGCATAATGAAAATTACAAGAAAGAGCATAAAATTTCTCTATAATTTAAAACAAAATAAAATCAAACTTTTACTCAATAAAATTTAAACTCTGAAACTTCAAGAAAGTCACTAACATAAATTCCATTAAATTACCTCTCTCCACTTGCTATAAAACTAATTTCAATAAAATATCATCTAGGACAAAAATTTATTAATTTATTTATTTTTTAATTTTAAATTTAAGGTCATTACATTGTAACTCTAATTCGAACAACATGAAGTGTATGGGAGAGATTTATATGTTGAAATTTTAGGATCTCTTAGTAAATGGTTTGAAACTTGTTCCCTATTCATAAATTTTGAAAATTTGATTATTAATGAATTGGGAAAAACTTGGTAATCCCTAATAGGCTTAGTCCCTTAATTACCTTGTTACTAGTAAAGGGTGATTTGTTTTTAGCCCGGTCTATGAATAGATCAGTGTTGCCCCGCAACCTCTAGTCTACTACCTGAACCCTGAGACAGTCCAGGTTTACTCTAGGCTTCCTCTTGCACTGATTTGCTCTAGTGCTCAACTCTCTCTCCTTAGCCCTTATCTCTTAACATTGTATCATAGTCTTGAATAGTTTGCCTTATATCTACCATCATGTTTTGCAATTCCTTTAACAATTCATCACTTCTGTCCCTCAACAGTGACTTAACCAGCAAAACTTTCAATACTTGTTCCTCCTTATTCATCGGTACACTTCTAGTACGTGTACCTCTCTTCATTATTTATTTCTCCCATCCTAAGGATGAAAATAAGGACACAAGGTTAGCAAAGGGAAAGAGTTTTGTAATGAATACTTGTAATTAATTATACTTATATTAATTATATCAATTATAATTTCAATACCTACAGTTCTTATATAAAACTAAGGTTTTTTATATTGATAACTTTAATGGCATTGAGTAAACAGAAAAATTCTTTCTTTATAATATATTAATTATATTATTATAATTTATTCTTATATCTATCTATTTAATAACTTTATTTATATCATATTTCTTGTTTTATTTTTTTAAAGAGTAATTAGCTTAACACATCTCAATTAAAGTAGAAGAACAATAATTTGATATTGTGTATGGCTTGCCTGTTATTGTTGTTCTTATAGCCTAGAGATCACTTATAATTGCTATCATAATGTGTAGTTGTGATTAATGTAATTAAATAATTGACTTTAAATTGTTGTGATTTATGTACTTGTATTGTTTTGATTTTAAACTTAATAAATTATATGATTTAAAATTTAATGAATGTTATTATCAAGATTTTTTTCTGATATTATTTGATTTATTGAGACGGCAGGAGGTCTTGATCTTATCTCGGTCCCATCCCAATTCCTAACGAGATGAGACGACTTTCAGGACGGGACGAGACATAAGAAAAAAAAATTTAGTCCCAATCTTTTTTTAAGGACGGGACTAGGATAGGGGTGTCTCGGTCCCATCCTGTCTCGTGAACACCCTTATTTGGTTGCTTGGTGAGGTAGGACACATGCAATCCAATGAGAAAGTTGAAAAATGACAATTAGGAATCCTAAATTAATGAAATTTCAACAATGAACTAAGGTCCTTAATTGAAATTAAAACACGAGTTTAAAATTTTGAAAAGACACTATTGAAATTGCTATTATAACTTGGGAATATTGGTAATCTTAATTGGGACAAATAAGAACTACACTTGAGAATAGGTTGTTTCTCATGTGAAACTAAAATTTACATACGAAATTTTTAAAAGGCACTTATGAATATACGATATTTACTTGAAAATTTACCGATGTCACTTCTGAATATGAACCTAAATTACTTATGAATTTTTATGCTTGTCAATACAGAGGTAAATTATTTGGAAAATTAAGAAAAGAGATTATTGAAATCACTATCATGGGTTGAGACTATTGTTAATCTCAATTAGAAAATCAAGATCCAAAGTGTTATGAGTTGGAGTTAAAAAAATTACTATTATAGGTTGAGATTATTGTTAATCTTATTTCCAAGTATGGATTTTGATTTTTTTGAACTAAAATTAACAATAGTCCTAATCTATAATAATAATTTTAGTAGTGGTATTTCTTTATTTTAAGTAAGGATCATGGTTTGTTATTGAAATTTTAATAATTTAAGATTTTTAATTTTAATTAATAATGGTCTGATGAAGTTCTTCTTGTCATTTTTTCTAAACTTTTATCTTGTAAGTGGCTTGAACAATGTGGCTTGTACACGAAGCCATATGACCTGAAACTTTGGTTTTCTTTTGCTTTTATCTCACCTTGATGGAGCATATCAAGGAGCTGTAGGTGAGCCGGCATTTTTGTGGAATAAATTTAGGTGATATATTGATTGATGATTTACATTTTAAATTCCTCAATTTACAACTCAATTGCTTGTTATTTACTATTGAACCTATAGGATTTGCAATTTGTTTTAACATTTTAAAGATAATTTACATTTATATAAAAATAATTTTTTCAAAGAAATTTGGCACTTGTCTTATGAAATCTGCAACTACTTTTAGGTATTCCACAACTCAATTACATAGAATATTTAAACATGAATTTTGAGATAATTTACAACTTTACAAGCAAAAAATTTTCATGATTAAATTTTTCACACAATAGTTGCAGTAATGATAAAAGATAAAAGTTGTGAGCTCGTTGAAGAATGTCTAGGTATTTCACTAACTTCGTGCACGTAAGAATTTATTAAATTATTTTATTTTTAGAGGTAAAAGGGCCGCAATTTTATGTTGATCAACACTTTAGATAGTGTTTGATTGGAAGTTTTGGAAGTTCTCTCTCCTTATCTGGTTGGTAAAAATGGAAGGAAGGATAAATGAATACCTTATTAGCTTTAAAAATTTAAGAGCTTTCAAAAAAAAAAAAGAGAAAAAACAAAGAGAGAGAGAGGTTCACCTTACCCACCGTTTAATCCATTTTCTCCAAATTAGAGTTTTTAGGAGGAAGAGGAGGGGGGAAATATATATTGACTAAATTGACCTTATTATATTTTTGAAAATTTAAATTATTTTTGATATTAAATAAAAATTATGTTTGTTCTCCTTCTCTCTCATTCTGAACTAAATTTTATCACATAATAAAATAGGAAAATTGGCCTAAAATATCTGATCACAAATTTAATTGTAGAAAGGAATGTGGGAATTGGAGGACTAAGGTCTTGTGGTGACATTAAATAGAATGACTAAATGACTAAATTACCTTCACCAAATTCTCTCCCTCTCTCCTCTTCAGCTTGTCTCGTGCGATCAATTTCTCATAGCATTCTTGCCAGCCATGATTCCAACGGCAATGGCGACAATGGTGAGTAAGGTGAGGTCAGTGGTGACTGGTGACGTTCACCCACCCTCCTTCTTTGACTGTTATCTCAATTGTGCATTGCATATTATAAATCATAGACGTTAAAGTATATTCATCAGATTGCCACTCGCCACTTTGTACATCACCGCTGCTCCTTCCTCTCCAATCATCATCCTTCATCAACCTCATTGCTACTATTATTTTGTTTTCCTTAGTTCATGATCATCCTTCATCGACCCTTGAATGCAATGAGTCCTGTTAGTGTTTTCAGCTTTTCACAATGGGGAGGTACGAGTGTTTGAAAGTTGTTTTCAACTTTAATAGGAATTGGTAGTTTTCAACTTTTTTTGGTTAGTGGTTTTAGCTTTAGAGTAGTTGGTATTTTTTGCTCTGTTTGTAAATTTTGACCTAGATCTGGGAATATAATTGTTTTTTAGTGATACTATTGTTGAAATAGTCATATCTTTTGATGTCAATGAGTGGGAGACCAATAAACAAACACAATCCTAAAGTAAGAGAATACCATCTCTATTATCAATGATGCACAAACATTTTGTTGATATCATTGCTAATTTTGGTCGTCCATGTATTTGTTGCATTGTAAAGGCATCCTCAATTGAGAAAGGACTCTTGTGTTTACTAGGTGTAAAGGACATAGTGCAAATTCATTGGCCTTATAAGCACTATTTGGTAGCAACTTTCATGTGGAATAATTTCTTTGCCAGTTCTAGTAAACACTGGATGCGTCCTTATAATTGGACTAGTTTCTTATGATTCAATTAACATGCCCTGGTAATGATAAGAAGGCTGAGATGTTGTAGTAGTGCACACTTCCATTTAACTTTCCAGTTTCTTACGATTCAATTGTTCAATGGCATCTTTGTTAACATTTGTTATGGGGTATGGCTTCATTTTTATGTTATGCTCATGGGTGTTCTACGGTGGTTTCCGTTAATCCATTTATTGATGTAGGTACACTGAATGGATTTGCTGCAATGCTTGTTTGCTCTTGATTTTCAAGTTTGTCTAATCCTCCCCGGCTATACTTCTCTTTGGTTCCAAGTTGCTTCCATTCAATAGTAATAGTTAAAATATTCTAAATCATACACATTCAATATAGAATATCAAGTATGAGAGTCAAGTTCATGCTGTAGACTACTTGAAATGTGAATCATAATGCCAATATCTTTAGGGCATATTAAGTTGGGTGAAGTATTTATTTTTTAAAGTATTTTTACCTTGTGCATTTGTTTATTTTTTGAAGTATCTACTTTCCTGTCATTGAACTTTTACTTGATATGAAGGGATAAGAGTAGGACATATTAGAGAGTGCTGAAAATTATTGATTTTCTAGAGCCTTCTGAGCTAAACTTATGTGAAGATTCTACAACAGTTACAGAGGAGCAATGTTTTCAACTTGCTGAAGATTATGATTCTCATATTTATGTATCTATCTTCTTGGAAATGTATTGGAAATTGTAGAAGTGGAATGCAACTGTAGTGGGATTGTGTCTATATACTATAGGTTTGAATTATGATTCTGGCTTGCTTAAATGATTTCTAGTGATATTTTAATTTTATATTTTAATGAAATAAAGTTTAGTTCAGTTTGCCATTTAGTTGTTGGATTATAAAGATTTCGTTTCACATATTGAAATTGAGGATATGTATTGAAAATGTAAATGTTCATGTCAAGGTATTTATCATTAAAAAAGAGAAAAATTTTCAGCATATCAATTTGCATTTTCATAAAAAGAATGAGCAAATTTCAAAATAGTTATTTGCACTTTCAAATATATGCGCTTTCAAGAAAAATGAGCAAAATTTCAGAATATTCATAGGTGTTTTCATTGAAAATTAGCAAATTTTTATAATATTCATTAGCATTTGGTGTTTTCATGAAAAATGAGAAAAATTTTAGAATATGCATTTGTGATATTTTGAAAACACAATATTAGTACAATATTCAAAGTTCAAATTTTGAGCCATATTCAAATATACATTTGAATATTCTAAAAATGCAATTTCGGTTCTATATATTCAAATAATCATATTTTATATCCTGAAAATTTACACTTTGTATCATGTTTTAAGACCATATACTGGTATATTCAACCATATGTTACTCTTCTTTCATGATATTCAACCACCATTTAAGGAACTACAATTTTCTTTCATTTATTTGAATAATCATTTTGGATATCCTGAAAATTTTATATTTAGCATTATGTTTTTGGACCTTATATAAGTATCTTCAACCATATACGACTCTTTTATAATATGCAACCACCCTTTAAGAAAATGTAATTTTTCTTCCATTTATTCAAATATGCATTTGTGATATTCAAATATATGGAAGAAAATTGCATTTTGTTGAAGAATTATTGCATATCATAAAAGAAATATTGCATATCCATCTAAAGGTATTCATAAGGGATTTTAATAAGAGATATTTGAATATGCAAAATTGATATTCATATATGGAAGAAACATTATATATGTTGAAGAGCAATCACATATTGTAACATTATGAAGTTTTTAATCTAGATTAATTTCTAATTAAGGGTAGAATTAGTAAATAAGTAAGTTATTTTGATTAATCATGTTTCCAAATAACTAATTGGTATTTCGAACAATTAGACAGCTTCCAGATTAGGCTAGAAGGAGTTGGAGCATATTAGGTTTTGATTAGAAGAGAATTTGTGATGGCAAAAATGTGAGATCATAAAATCTAATTAAATTGTAGGATTAAATTTATATTTGGAAGTGAGAATTCACTAAAATATCTAAGTCCTTAGGAGCACAAAGCCATTAAAAATTTCACACTAATGGAAACCCAAAATTAGGTCAAATAAGCATACTTAATAAAGTTAATGAAAAATGTTGAGTTTTATTTAATTACTCCCAAAGTAAAATAAATTTGTAAAATCTAATGTAACCACTCTTCTTTTGTACTTAAAACAAACTTAGTCAAATTTTCTTGTAGCTTTTCTTAAAAGTTAATTTTTTAAACCAAAATACTCCTAGTGTACAATTTCATCCTTAGGAAATTATCTCACTTTTAACACCATGAATGCATATAATGGGAAATAAAACATGACAAAATGGATCATAAATAGCCAGATAAAGTGTGTAAAGAATCTTATCATGATGGTTGTGATTTACTCTTACACAGTCTTGTGGGTAATTCTTAGGCTTCACTAGAGAGGATCTTACATAATCTTATGACCAATCTCCTTTACTTAAGCCATGGCTTGCTAGAGAACTAACTAGAACACTTGGTCAATCCTAAGACCAAGTAACATCTTGAGTTTTTAATCCAAAAATTAATTGCTCACTAGGAAAAATTAGTAAATTAGTAGATTAATTGAATAATAAGGATTTTGGATGGAGAATTAATATTTTGGGTTGATGGTTGATTGAATGAATAGAATCGAGCAGAAGAATCATGAACTGAGCTAAAGCATGTGAGTAGCAATGAAATTCTACTCACTATGCCACACACCACGAAGTTATAGCATATAGCTCAAAAATCTAATTAATAAAGATATGGATCAGACATGAGAAGGGAGAGGAAAAGGGCAAAAGAATGCGAGAGAGAGTAGAGAAGAAGGTTAGCTCTACTAGGGCAAGAGATCTCAGAATGTTGGCACTCAGTTTTGACATGTTGCTTGCTGGGTAAGTTTCTTATGGCCCTATGCTCCTATTCTATCCTAAATACTCTTAGTTTAAGGTATATAGAAATTAAATAAAGGTGTTTTAAGGGATTGTTTTCTTATCCTTTGTTAATAAAAAGACTCTTGAAAGTTAAACTAAGAGATTATATAGTTTGGTGATTAACAGTTGAATTATAAGGTTATAGGCTCAATTTGATTTAAAATAGGAAAGTTTAAAAGGATGAAAGTTTGGTGTGGAGTATGTTGAAGTTAGTACGAGTGTTAAGAGGCACAAAGAGAATAATTATGACCTAAAAGGTTAAGGAAAAGTGATTGAATGATTAGTTGTGATTAATTATAGTAATAAGTATTTTTGGGTCAATTTAATAATTGAGTTATAGTGCTAAATTGTGTAGATTAAGGAAAATTGCATGTAAATTGTGCCAAAGGAAGCTAACATTGTAAAGAGTACCATGGGTAACCCTTTATAGTAATAAAAAAGTTGAGATAATTGAATAATACATTCTATCTATTAATTAGATTAATGATTTATAAGTGAATGTGCAGGGTGTGATATGCAATTTTAATCATTGGCATAATTTGTAAACTTCCATTGATTTTGTATTGAAAGGAAATTTAAAAACTATTGACATATATATGGAAAATGATATGCATATGTTTTCATCACTTGCATTAGATAAGGTGAGAGTTCGCCCTGTAATGCAAGTTTACAAATTATAACACTTGCATTAGAGAGGGTGAGAGTTCACCCTATAATGAAGAGATATGCGTGAAAATCCATATGGATTAGCTGGCACCAAGGGACCCACAGCACAACAATTATCAGGGGACTATATCATGAAAAATTAGGTAGTCTAGCAACTTCTTAGTGCCCGTGAGAGTGTGGTTAGAAGTCAACGACACCTTGATTAATTATAATAGGGGGAATTCATAGTCTCGAAGTAGGATGGAACACCTTAGCCTAGTAGTTCACCTACGGAAGGTTAGGCAAGGACTAAATCTATTAAGTTGGTTAGAGTTTCCTATGAATTTAGTTAGGATGTATAGAGGATGAATAGTGTAGGATAATGATAGAACACATTTGTTACCCACTTTTATTTGTCAATTAGGACCATTTTATTAATGATTTTATTAATGGTGAAATTATATTTTTAAAATTCATTTTAGTTTGGGAGTAATTAAATAAAAAAGTCAACACTTTCTTAAGTGTCTTAGTTTGTCCTAGTTTTTGGTTTGCCTTTGTGTGAAAATTTTTATATAATTTTGTATAGCCTAAAACTTGGTTAATTTAATAAATTCTCCCTTCTAATTATGAATTTAATTCTAGACATGAATTAGATTTTATTATATCATATGCTATTTAATTGAATTATGTGATTTATGTGACATAGGTGGTATGTGACTTGTGCATCAATTGGGCAATTGAGGTCAACACTCCTTGAGGACAATGGCTGATGGTTTGCACGTGAATTATGATTATTTTGAGGGATTAGATCAGCTAAAATGATGTGGATGACACATGGGAAATTAGGCACACATTGGAATCATCTACAAACCAATAGGAAGTTGCCACCTTGCAAGTGTGACAAGGCTCCCATTTACATTTTAATTTCTTTTTCCTTATTTTAATTAAGCTTCAGCTGATGGGAGACACCAAGGAGCACGCCATTTTAAGTCCCAAATGGGATCCAACACATATCTCATTCATCTTCCACATTCTCTCTCTCTTGTTCATAGTGTTCTTCATTTTCTCTCTTTTGTTCTTCATTTTCCAGCATCCTAACCTCCATTTTCAGCCACCAAACCTCCACAAAACTCATACCATTCTTCTCCTCTCTTCATTTTCGTTCCATCCCTTCTATTTTCACAAGGATTGAAGCTCATTTCCATCATTCAAGAGCTATGGAGTTTGGTCTTCACAAGCAATCACTAGGGTTCTTGAAGATGAAGATTGGCTAAGTTTCTTTGTGGAATCCTAGAGAGATGAAGATGGAGGATGAGTCTTGAGCTTCAAATTGGCTAAGTTCTTTTGTTTCCTATCCTCTTCTCTTTTTACTAGATGGTTAGATTCCTTAATCTAGGGTCTAATCATCTTAGCTTATAAATTCTAATTTGAATTTGATGTTGATGTAAAGAGAGAGGATTGTTTCATTTAATTTCTTCCTTGGATAGCCATGACTGAATTTTGCCACTCTTTGTTTGGCACATAATCTTGTGTTTTTCAATTAGTGAATTTCTTGTGTTAATATTGCATAATCTTGTGGTGTTAATGCTTGTGTTGTTGAGTAGCTTAACATAATCTTGTGGTGTTAATGCTTGTGTTGTTGAGTAGCTTGACATAATCTTGTGGTTGCTCAATTTATGTGTTTGACCATGGTTGTTGAGAGAGGATTTTGAATGAATCACTTGGCTAATGTCTTCACCAATTGGTTAATTGAACTAGGGACTTTAATCTAAGACCTAAGGAGGTTAGCTAATTAGGTTAATTGGCTTACGATAATTTTCTTAAGTCATGACAGCTTTAGTCAAGAGGAAAGGGAAGCTAAACTTAGCCTAATCATGAGAAGATAATGAGTCCAAAATCAACTAATCTCTAGGGTTCCATTATTGTAAAAAGGGAAGTTCATTTCACTCACTTTCACTAGCATTTTAATTACTTGCATATTAGGTAATTAGTTTAGATAATTAGCTAGATAACTAAATTCCTACAAACTTTGGTTGATTTATTTCACTAGATAACTTTCAATTAGACTTAAAACCATTCCTTGAGAGATGACCTAGGGTTGGCCCTATATTGCATTAGGGTTAGCTTTAGTGTAATTTTGAGGATGAGCGACTAATTTCCTATCAGATAATCATGCATGTGAAAATGTTTTTATGGATTCTGAATTATACGGGTACACGTATTTACTTTA